GGGGAGCAAAGAATACACCTGCCGTGATACTGCGTGTCGTAAGAGGCGACTAAAAGTGCAAAGGTCCAGTCGCTCGAAAAGTGCCAGTTTGCGGAGGGCCAACTACCCAACCCAGTAAAAAAAACCAGTAAGTTACAGCAACACGGACAAACACGGCTTTTTATTTTTCGATCTTGGGAGACGGAGGAGCTTCTGCACCAGCAGGAACAATGAAGGACAGCGGACAAAGCCGAAAGGACTCTTCTGACCCGAAACCTTCTCTGTTGAACAAGTCTCTTCGCATTACAGCGTGGAATGTTCGCCTCATGTATGAAGCAGGAAGGAGTTCTCAAGTGGTACAAGAGATGAACAGACACAGGCTACACATACTAGGAGTTAGCGAAACACACTGGATACAGTCTGGACAGAAGCAGCTCAGCTCGGGAGAACAAGTATTGTATTCTGGGAGGGAAGACAAGCACCATGCGGAAGGAGTGGGGCAGCTGCATAACAAAGAAAGTTTTGGATTGGAACCCTCAGGGTAAGAGATCAAGGGGAAGACCGCGTGGAACCTGGAGAAGAATCACAGAAATCGATGTACAGAAAAGTGGGAAGACATGGAATAACATCAAGAGAAAGGATAGAGAAAGGTGGAAGGTGTTTGTCCGTGGCCTATACCCTGGTGCAGGGTGAGAAAGGCAATGATGATGATGATGATGATCACCAGCCACAGTGATAGCAATACTGTATTTAGTTTTGGGTATGTTTTTGTTAGATTAAGGGCATAGAAATATATACTTGAAAGGATGCTTGTACATTTAATGGGCTGGATTGTGGGGCAGCTGCATAACAAAGAAAGCAGTCTTATCATTGTGTAAGTTTTAATTTTGTATTATTGTTTTAAAGATTTTTATATATATATTTTTTTTTTTGGGGGGGGGGGCTATTACGAAGCCCGTAAAGCCACCAGGGAGAGGGCGCCTTTAGTGGTTATTCCTATTCTTATTCTTAAATTATTCTTATTCTCATTTTTACTTATATTCTTATTAGAAAAATTGAAAACGTAAACGTAGTAGAGCAGGGCTCAAGGAAGTAAATCAAATTGTAAAAGTGGCGAAACGGTAGGCAACATAACTACACCTTAACCGCGTACATAGTGGTCAAAACATGTATACAAGTAAGAAATCCCAGCAAATAGATCCCATTTTAAGAATATGAGAAACTAAAGACCGTCACATTCAGCATAAAGGTCAAGAAATGATAAGAACTCAAAACCAATAATTGATATTATTATACAAATTCCTTTTTACCCCCCCCCCCTTTCCCCCACCTCACCTCACCGCAGGCCAGATTAGTATACATTAAATTAACAAAACTGGGGAGAACAAAAATGACCAAGGCAAAGATTTCAAAGTGTACGAACGTAAATATAATTTAGATCTCTCCTCTTTTCCCCGGACCTCGGTAGGGGGCCAGTTGTTTGTGGTCACTGAGTGGTCAAGGATGGTTCTTATGCTATTATCCTCTTTTGACAGAGAAACGTTAAGTTCCATGGATGAAATCGCCACCTGCAGCGTGCAGCTGATTCTTGTCCAGAAAAACAAATGTACTTCTCAGGGTATCTCTTTTCGTTACGTGATATCAAACTTTGGACATATTGAACGCCACCATGCGCTCGAGAAACATGTTCTGGAAGCAATTTATGTAGAAGAAGGCAAGAGAGGGAGGGGTAGACCTAACAGAAAATGGGAACAACACACAGAAACCTGGCTTGGAACCAAAACAGCTCAAGCAGGCAAAATGGCAAGAGACAGAGTGTTTATTTGCAGTGAGCTCCATGAAGTACCGTAGCGTCCATTATTACAGGAAAGGTAAGAAGAAGAAGCAGATAGAAAACTTATTAAATGTTTGGAGGCAAACGTTGTTAAGTCCAACTGCTATACTTTCCCGTCTAATGTTTCTGTCTACTTGTCTTACCTCTCTACTGCTCTTGGTGGCTGTTGACGTGTCGATGTGCTTTTCTTTAGTCAAACAAACAAACTCAAAACTGCTTAAGTTTCCACTGAACGAATAATATTCGAGGAATCGATAGTTTCGGATCAAACTGGTCAGGGATTGGGTGCGTGACAAGCCGCGTGGAGGAGGCGGGAAGGCGTTATATAAAGGTACGATGTGCTTCTCGGCAAGTCTCAGAGCACAAAGACGGCTCACAACGTGTTCAACCTCTGGTTAGAAAGTGATGATGATGATGATGATGATGATGATGATGATGATGATGATGATGATGGTGATGATGATGATGATAATGATGATGATGATGATGATGATGTAATAACAATAATTACAACAATAGTTACCAATAGCTACAAAGTCTCATAACGATATAAAAGCAGTGAGTGTTGTTTGCCTTTAATTTTATCATTAAACCCCTATTACTGTTGTTGTTTTACCAGGTAACAGGCAACGATCATTCCTATAAGAACCTTACGAACGTTCAAACAGCCAAGACACCCCGACAAGCGACGCAAAAATGAGCCGCGTTGGGATACAAAGGGGACTTTTTCGTAACGTTCTGCACCTTCACACCACTGGTGATAGATATGGCGGGAAATGGATCTGGAACCAGCGACTGACGGCGGAGCAGTTGCCGGAAGATCTCCAGTGGCAACAAGGGGGTCAGCCAGAGAAACAGCTGTGTCCGGCTAAAGTTGCTGAGCTGAAGCCTCTCTCAGAGATGCCGGGCCCTAAGGGATTGCCTGTTATAGGCACGATGATGGATATGGTGCGGTACTTCGGTGAGTTCTCTATAATGTGTGAAGATGTCGTTTTAGTCGTCGGTTTCGTTGTTGTTGTTGTTGGTGGTGATGATAATGATGATGATGATGATGATGATGATGATGATGATGATGATGATGATGATGATGATGATGATGATTAGTTGTAGTAGCAGTTGTCGTCGTCGTAGTCGTCTTTTGTCGTCATTGTCGTTGTTGTCGACGTCGTCGCCGTCATTGTTGTTGTTATTATTTTGTTGTTGCTGCTGCTGCTGCTGTTGTAGTAGTTGTTGTTGTTGTTGTTATGCTGTTGCTGTTGTTGTTGTTGCTGGTGATGATCTTGTTGTATTAGTAATTGTAAGTATTTTTGTCGTCGCTGTTGCTGTTGTTCTAGTTATTCTTGTTGCTTTTATAGTAACTGTTGTGCTTGGTGTTGTGTCACTGGATATTGTTGTTGTTGGTGGTGGTGGTAGTGGTGGTGGTGGTGGTGGTGATGATGATGGCGGCAACAGCGATGGTGGTAATAGAGGTGGTGGTGGTGGCAGTGGTTGCGATGGTTGTGGTGGTAGCAATAGTGTTGGTGGTGGTAGTGGTGGTAATGGTGTGAATGTCGCTATTCCTGTTGTACATTTTGAAGTAGTTGTTGCTGGTGTTGTTATTGCTATTTTCGTAGTTGTTGCTTTTGTTGTTATTGCTATTTTCGTAGTTGTTACTGTTGTCCGATTTTGATTCTTGAAATCATTATTGTATAGCAAAAAGAACATAAAACTCCAGCACAGTAAGGTAACAGAGTTGAAATTGTTCGTTAAAGAACAAAAAAAAGCATAAAAGATTATCTTAATGTTTTCTTTATATTATTATATTGCTTGCATAATAACCAAAAAAAGCATAGAGTCGTCCAGTTGTTCAAATGTACTAAGACCCACATTTGTGTACTTTCTTTTAAATTGTAGAGGTTTTTTTTTTATTGACGCAAGTTTTTGTTTTGTTTAGTTTTGTATAGATCTATGCTGGATATACATTTTTTTGAAGTTCAACTTTTAAATGCTTGGAAAGCAAGAAAAGATACATTCTTTTTTCAAAAAGTTGTTTTCCCTCCTCCCCTGGAAAACGTTGCTTTCTTGGCTGAGAACAGTTGAACAGGGCTGACGATAACAAAATATTGTGTGGGCTTCACCTCAGATAGGAAAGGATTTTCAATCCGAAAACAAAACAGTGCTTTCCAAGAAAAACAAAACAGCTAAAGGAGGATTAGCATGTTTGTTTGTTTTGTTTTGTTTTTTGTTGTTGTTAGTTTTGTTTGTTGTTGTTTGTATTTGTTTGTT